CATACTCAGTCAGGTGGCATTTTTCGATTTTGGCCTTTGAGTTCGGACCATGTTTTGGGCTTAGAAGGTTGGGGCTTAGTTGGGCCATCTGAAATTGGGAGTTTTAGGCCAGGAATATTATTGGGCTTTGGGTTTAGGCCCATGAGAAGAGATTCGGCCCAATTGGAAATTGGGCCATAATTCGGCCTTGGTGGGTTGTATGACTTTTGGGCCTTTTAGATTGTGGATTTGGGCCTTAATCTTGGATCAAACTAGGTCAGGGGTAAAATGGTCATTTTACCCCAACTAAGGATTATTGAATATAGATTGGAACCCAAGTGTTAATTAGGTGTTCTTTTGTATTGATAGCTCGGGGAGTCGTCAGGACAACAACTAGGGATCTTTAGTGAGATTCAACATTCGAGGTGAGTTTCCACACTGGGTTTGGCAGGTCAAAGGCACCAATGTCGGCCCTTACTTTGTATGTTAGGATACTAGGAGTCTGTGTGACCCTTGCATGTGTATGTTCTTCTATGTATACAGGCCAGGGCTCGATGTTGGGCGAGGCTCGATGGCTGGAACGTATGATATTGTTTTATGATATTGTATGTGTTAGCGTGATTATGTGTTATGTATTGTGTGTGGCTAGTGGGCAAGGCCCGACGTTATGTGGGGCCTAAGAATAACAGATATATATACCGAGCGGGGCTCGATGACGAGTGGGGCCCAATGTAGGACGGGGGCCTAGTATATGTTTTATTATGTATGGTATGGGGTAGTTTAAGGAACTCGCTAAGCTTTGTGCTTACGATTTTCAGTTTATATTTCAGGTACTTCTGGTTCCAAAGGGAAGAGCCCAGGTTGACTGTGTCACACACACCATATGGATTCTGCTTTTGAGATTTCACTCTGATTCTTATGATATTTGACACACTTATTTTTATTTGGGAGGTATGGATCATGTTTGGAATATTGTTTTACTAGAATAAAAAATTAAAATTTTGGATCATATTTTTGGCACATTACAAGTTGTTATCAGAGCCTTGGTTTGAGTGATTCGGGCACACTATCGCGTGTGTCTGAACTCAAACTGAGGATTTGGTAAGGTTTTTTTTTCAAAATGAAATATAATTTTTAAGAAAAGAGTTTTTTGAAATAAGAAAGGGTGTGGTGCATGCAATCAGCCGATCTCATGTAAGTTTCCCAAAATACCCATACATGTTATCTGTTATACTTTGATCTGTGAAGCTATGAAACGCGTGCTAGTTAGGGCTAAGGATCTGCTCAATTTTGCATGATAGAATTCTAGGAGAGATGTCTTTGTATGCCTATTGTATGAGCTAGTAGACTTGCATGCTACTATTGATCAGTCAATGATAGGATGGCTTGAATAGGTTATGCTTAGTTCTGGTTACTTGATGCTCGAATGCTACTAGCTTTGTGCTTTTAGGAGTTATTACTAACTTCAGCTAACTAGTAAGAGAATATCCTAGGTTACATACTATGGGAACTGAATTGTTTTAGAAGGCTATACTTTAACTTTTTTGCACAGCTCTTGTTTGAGTCCAACTGTGGTAGTGTAGGACCTTTCATTCGAAGAATTGTCCGCTTTTAGTGGTATGTAATTGTATCAGTGAGCTAGTTAGAGGGAGGTAGCGGGAGTTCCTTCTGCAGCATATGGCGGAGAGTAGTGTGGACTTTTCCCTAGGAAAATCTAGGAGGAGATCTAGTGTTGGGAGCCTTATCTGTGAGGGAAGTTGTATGTATATAAAGTAACTTGGTTGAGTCAAGGCGCTTCTTGAGGAAAGTACAGATATATGTGGAAGGTAGTATGGGCCCGTACTACTAAAAGTAGAGGATCCGTACACGATTCAAGGAGAGCTGCAATAAAATCAGGGAGGTTATGGAGTTGTGATTCCCCGATATATATATATATATATATATATATATATATATATATATATATATATATATATATATATATATATATATATTTCGGTGCGTATTCTGATGGTTTATATGGTCTATTTTCAGTATGGTGGTATTGCGAGGCAGACCTACTAGCAGTTCTGGTGCTAGGGAGGGCTTGGGCTCAGGATCTGGATTCGGGCAGCTCGATGAGCAGACTAGGGAGTTTATCTCGTCTGAGATTACTCGTTTCATCCTTGATCAGACTCATGTGATTTTCGGCACGGTCAAGGAGGGTATTCTGGAGGTTTTGGATGAGCGGTTGAGCTCGTTTCATTATGAAACGATGGCACTAGCGGGGTCACATTCTTTGACATTCAGGGAGTTCCGGGCATGTAGAGCTCCAGACTACCATGGGGAGAAGGACCCCATTACGAGCAGGTGGTGGTTAACGGATGTTGCTAATGTTTTCCGCACCAGTCGTTGTCCCAAGGGGGACAAGGTCAGATCAGCTTCCTGCATTTTGAAGGACATGACGAGATACTGGTGGGAGGAGGTTGGACGGGCGTTGGGTGATGATACGGTTGATGTGATGACATGGGATAATTTCTCGACACGGTTCTAAGCTGAGTTTGCACCAGTGATTGCGGTGCAACAGTTGGCGCGAGAGTTCCAAGATCTCCGCCAAACTACAGAGACGGTGGCTTAGATCACCGTTATGGTCAGGGAGAGGACGCTTCTGGTTCCCCAGCATGGGGCGGACAAGGAGATGAAGATGGCCCGATATCATAAGATGATGAAGAGTGACATTCGGCAGTTTGTGAGCCGATCCAGCTGCAAGACGCTGGAGGATATGATAGAGTGAGATATGGAGAGGGAGATAGATCTCGAGATGGAGAGGAAGAGGAAGTCGGATGAGGTGTAGGTGTAGGTGTCAGGGAGTTCGGGCAAGAGGCCCAAGGTATCAGACTTTAGATCGAGAGGCCATCAGGGCCGTAGCCGTTGCGGGAAGTTCGGCAGGGCGCACGAGGGACCGTACAGGGTGGGTGGATCTGGCTGCTTCAAGTGCGGTCGAACATATCATTTTAGTGGGGATTGTACTGCTACAAGAAGGTCCATTGTCCGAGTTTAGCAGCTGCACGACCGGTGTTAGCACCCGCTCCTGCGACACTGAGGATTACTGACGGACGCCAGGGTCAGGCAAATGTGCCTGCGGCGAAGAGCAGAGCGTTGTAGCTGACGGCTGAGGAGGCTCGCGCAACTCCCGTTGTGGTGATCGGTATGTATCTTTTCCTTATCTTTTTATTTATAATGAATTGTTGCTTATGTTTATTTGTTTTATTATAGGATCTTTCTTCGAGAACGATATTTCTGCTTTAGTATTGTTCGATTCGGGGGCTACCCGATCTTTTCTATCGCTTGCGCTTAGTAAGAGATTTATTGGAGCTCCGGGGGAGTTGGATTGTCCTCTAGATGTTGAGATTGCTGATGATAGGACTATTCAGGTTGCGAGGGTTCATCGGGGGTGCACTCTTCAGTTGTTCAGTGATCAGTATCAGGTCGACTTGGTTCCCATACTCAGTCTGGTGGCTTTTTCGATTTTGGCCTTTGAGTTTGGGCCATATTTTGGGCTTAGAAGGTTGGGGCTTAGTTGGGCCATCTGAAATTAGGAGTTTTGGGCCAAGAACATTATTGTGCCTTGGGTTCAGGCCCATGAGAAGAGATTGGGCCCAATTGGAAATTGGGCCTTGGTGGGTTATTTGACTTTTAGGCCTTTTAGATTATGTATTTGGGCCTTTTAGATTGGAACCCAAGTGTTAATTGGGTGTTATTTTGTACTGATAGTTTGGGGAGTCGTCAGGACAGCAGCTAGGGATCTTCAGTGAGATTCAGCATTCAAGGTGAGTTTCCTCACTGGGTTTACCGGGTCGAAGGCACCAATGTCGGCCCTTACTGTTATGTTAGGATGCTATGAGTCTGCGGGACCCTTGCATGTGTATGTGCTGCTATGTATATTGGGCGGGGCTCGATGTCGGGCGAGGCCCGATGGCTGGAATGTAAGCTATTGTTTTTTAATATTGTATGTGTTAGCATGATTATGTGTTATGTATTGTATGTGGGTAGTGGACGAGGCCCGATGTCAGGCGGGGCCTAAGAATAACAAATTTGTATACTGAGCGGGGCTCGATGCCGGGCAGTGCCCAATGTAGGGCGGGGGCCTAGTATATGTTTTATTATGTATGGTATGGGGTAGTTTGGGGAACTCACTAAGCTTTGTGCTTACGGTTTTCAGTTTATGTTTCAGGTACTTCCGGTTCCAAAGGAAGAGCTGGGGTTGACTACATCGTACACACCATATGGATTCCGCTTGTGAGATTTCACTCTGATTCTTATGATATTTGACACACTTATTTTTATTTGGGATGTATGGATCATGTTTGGAATATTGTTTTACTTAAATAAAAAATGAAATTTTTGGATCATATTTTTAGGACATTACACTCTAACTTAACGAGTCGAACACTTTCTCGAAGTCCACTTTCAATGCAATAGCCTTTTTTTGTCCTATATAGCCCATATGCGATCACTTCGTTAAAAATTAAGGGACGATGACCGTACTAGAAGTTGAAAGTAAAGGGTGAAGAAGGCCAAAACCAAGACTAGCTAGGAAGAGGCTATTGCAAAGGAAGCTGAGGGACCACATTACATCAACGCTAAGCGAGTGGTGTCTTTCATGAGTCCATTGGGATGAAATTAAATTTTGTAATATCTAATATGAATCTATACGTTTATATACTTCTTACCCCTTCCGATTGTAGACATGCATATAGTTTGTGCGCTTTGTATACGTGATAAATCTATACGTTTAAATACTTTTTATCCCTTCTGACTATTTAACCCTAGAAGCAAATGGGTGTTTTGTCTTTTAATTGACTTGAAGATTTTTTGATATTGGGAATAGGATCTTCGTTGGAATGATTATTGAGATGAACATGGAGAACCACAAGTCTGGGAATCTTTTTTACCGCACGATTCCCTTGCATCAACTTTTTAGACACCTTAATTAATATCACCGACTACTGAATGGATGATCCACATAATAACCAGTGAACGTTTTTTCCCTCGTCATCTTTTATGCAAAACCAAAAGAAATTACAAGCATATAATTGGATCGCATCCAAAATGTTATTGGTGTTGCTAAAACCCCGCCGGCAGCCATATGTGCATTTAAACACAAAATAAATTGATTTCGCACTGTTTTCATAAAAAGGGTTGTTAGGAATAAGCATATTTGCAAAATCCTGGTTTTATATCATTACAAAAATATTTAAAGAAAGGAGATCGATTTAATCAACTTTTTTAATATAATTCTCATGCAGTTGGCTGCCCCTTGATCGAAGTCAGACAAACATGGCTTCGGAGCCTGGTGTATTGTTTTGGATCCTTGTGTTGCATGTTCAGATATTTGTAGTCATCGGAAATCCAAGAGTCCCATGTTTATTCATATTTGGTGACTCGTTGGTTGATAATGGCAACAACAATGATCTTGAGACGCAAGCGAAAGCAAATTACAAGCCTTATGGGATTGATTTTCCTGAAGGTGTTAGCGGTAGATTCACCAATGGTCGAACCATTGCAGATATGATAGGTTTATTTCTATCTATTATTCTGTTGAAACACAAAACTTATCATTTGAAGAAATTTTGCTACATATCTATTACATTGTCCTTTTTGTCTTTAATTATCGATTATTAGTTCCATGGGCAAATATTCATATTTTCCAACAAAAACCCTTCATTCCAAACAAATTTGAGGGTTCATGCTTTTTATATTACGTACACCCTTTCATTTTATCCTAATTAATCCAAGAAAAATTGTTTTAGACCAAGTTTTAGATGTTCTCTTTTAGGTACAAAATAACCCAACATTTTATCTTATGACTGACAAATTTGTTGAATTGACGCTAGCTGTTCAAGAAAAGAAGAATATAAAATTAAAAATAAAATAATAATAATAAAATAAAATAAAATAAAATTATTTATACAACAATATCTCACTTTTTTTTTTTTGGATATAAAAACTATTTTACCTTATAATTTGCAAAAATCGTTAAACCAAAATATAAGCCTTTAACCTTTTTTGTTATACAAGAAAAATACGTACGTACATTTTAGTTTGTAATCAATATATAAAACATACTTCTATTTCATTACTTCAAATTATAAGCATGCATTTTAATTAACTGAAAATTCTAAGAAACTCATTTTACTACATATATATCTATTATATAATGATATCATAGTTTTTTGGTTTTCTACAAATTAAATATCATACATTTTGACATTTTTATTAGTCAAGATCATATATTAGTAAAGACTATTGACGTCAATATATAATATTTGTTTTAGGTCATCTTCTAGGTTTTAAAAATTTTGTACCACCTCATGCCACCGTAAAAGATGAAGAGATCAGCACAGGGGTAAACTATGGCAGTGGTAGTGCTGGTATTCGTGATGAATCTGGAATGCATCTGGTAACCACTAGTTGTATGCGATTTTATTTTACTTTTGAGCTTTTTTTGTGATGACTAAAATTATTTATTTGTTTGTTTGCATGTGTTTAACACTTTAACTACAACGCAGGGTGATCGTCTCAGTTTGGGTACGCAGATACGTAATCACAAAGCAATAATTTCACGCATTACGAATTTACAGAACAACAAGACACTTACCGATGAACACTTGAAACGATGCATTTACTTATCAAATATTGGAAGCAATGATTACATCAACAACTTCTTGATACCTGAGCTATATCCTCAAAGCCACAAATATAGCAGCGATGAATATGCAGCAATCCTTGTACGACAATACTCTCAACACCTAACTGTAAGTATATATGATTCTTATTTTCGTTTTGATTTTGTGATCGATCCATAAGCTTTCAAAAAAACTCCAAATTTATATATGATTCTTATACAGACTCTGTACAATATGGGAGCGAGGAAAGTTGCAGTATTCGGTTTGGGTCAGATAGGGTGTGCATTAGAAGTAATAGCAAGGTTTGGAACCCCTGGAAGTTCTTCGTGTGTTGATTTGATCAATGATTCAGTTAACGTATTTAATGGTAGACTCAAACCTGCTGTTGATAAGCTCAACAATGATTTTCCTGATTCAAGATTCACTTTCATCAACGTTACAAGCATTTTAGCACCACAAGGAGGTAAAGGATGAGCATAATATTTTATAATTTATGGTGTTTCATGCTGATTTCAACATATATCATGTGATTTTGTTATTTAAATTGTTGTGAATATTTAGGTGTACAGTTTCCAAATATTCCTTGTTGTAAAGTAAGGCCAGATGGACAATGTATTCCAGACACAGACCCTTGCCCAAATAGGGGGCTATCTGTTTACTATGATGGTTTTCATCCCACGGAAGTTGCGAACACAGTACTTGCAACAAGATCATACACTGCGCTGTCTGCTTTGGATGCGTCTCCTTATGATATTGCTCATTTGTCTCAAGTGGCTGATTAAAGGGGATTGAAGGATACCAATTAATCTGTTTAGATTGTTTATTTTTATTTTATGCATGACATATAAATAGCAGTAATCATGACGATAGTGACATTCTATTGTATCTGGTGTTCATTTAGATAATTAGATGTAGAAAATCCATACACAAAATCTACTGAACTAATGGAGCACTCAATTTTCTTGATTTCTCCAAATTAATGCTAGATATGGATTTTAAAAAGTTGGAACTGAGGTGAAAAGGGTTTGGGATCTTCATACATGCATAATGGTAACACTTTTAGTACTGCTAACAGTTCACAAAAGACCTGGAAAATTAATTGTACATTCTGAAAAAGAAAATAGTGCAAGACAAGCAAAAGATGCAAAAATCACCATAACAAAACATCGAATGGTCATGGCCGTTGGCAAGTGATATGTCAAACAATTAACGCTTCCAAAGAGCATGGTCATAGAGGCAAAAAGCTAAATTAACCCATGGTAATGATGAATGTTGGAATTTAATAGGATCAAATATTATATGCTAAAATGAAGAGTGAAATAAGTGTTTGTAACTTGTGCTTACAAGTCATAAAAAACCGGTAAGGACTTAAACGATATAGTGGAAGGAAAGGTAAAAGTAGAGAGATTTATTCAAGTGTTACTCTACTAAATATTGAAAGAAACGGTTACAACTTAATTCTTATAATGACGGAAGAGGTACATTGTATTCTTATATAGCCTAAGCTTCCAAATATTAAAATACTAAAGTACGCTAAACCTAAGCATACTATCATTATTTGAATACAAAATATCTAGACAAATTTCTTGGGATACTAAAGTACACTAAACCTAAGCATACTATCATTATTTGAATACAAAATATACAAAATATCTAGACAAATTTCTTGGGAACATGTAGTCAAGATAAAATTGAGACATAAATAACTCAAACAAACTCTTTGATTAAAAGGAATATCACTCAAAACTTTGTGTTACAGTTGTGAATTCTTCATCCTAAAACTCGATTAAGATAGGTATATATAGATCTAAATACTGACTTGTATTAGACTACAGTTAGGAAACTAGGAACCAACTTGTAAAATAGTTTCCTAAAACTTTGTTGCCTAAATTGGATTGCCTGATCCTCAAACTTAGGATTTCAACAATCACCCCGAATCTCTAAATCCTTCTGGAGATGTCTTCAATCATGATCAAGCTCCGCATTTCCTTGAACTTGGTTCAAGCTAATGGTTTGGTAAGAATATCTACCATTTGTTCTTCACCAGGAATGTACTCCACCTCCACTTGATCGTTTTCAACACAATTACGAATAAAGTGAAACCTCGTGTGAATGTGTTTACTCCTTCCATGAAAGACGAGATTCTTCGTTAGTTCGATGACCGACTTGTTATCAACACTAAGAACCACTTTCTTTTGAAGTCATATTGTTTGACATGCGATCATCGTGGCCGCCATGAACTCCGCCTCGCAAGATGATAAAACAACTGTATCATGCTTTTGCGAACACCATGTAATTGGAGATGACCCGTAGTAGAAAATGTGACCGATTGTGCTTTTTCCATCATTCGGGTCAACATTGTGACTACTATCACTATAACCAATGAGTCGGTTTTGTCCCATCCTCTCGTACTTGATACCGTATCTCGTTGTTCCTTCGCAGGATGTGCTTGATTGCAACTCCATGTGATTCTCTTGGACTCTGCCTGTATCGGCTAACAACTCCAACTGTATATGCCATATCGGGTCTTGGTTTATAGTAATCCCCGATTCCTATTGCTTAACTACAATGTCAAGGTAATAAGTCATTCTTCCAAGATCCTAAATCTCAAGGTTCTTGGACATCTCTAATTTGAACCTCTTGATCATGATCAAATGTGTACATGTCACAAATAAATCATCAACATAAATTACTAAAATTAGCAAGTTAGATCCTTCACTTTCCGGTACACCGATGGTTCTTTCATGCACTTTTGAAATTTCATACTCTTCAAAATCCCGTCAAGCTTCGTGTTCCATGCTCGAGGTGCTTGTCGTAGGTCATACAGTGCTATTGTAAGTCGATATACTTTATGCTCGTTGCCTTTCTTTATATAGCCTTCTGGTTGCGATACGTAAATGGTTTCCTTTAATTCTCCATGTAAGACGTCGTTTTAACATCTAAGTGGTGAAGCTCCCACCCATGAGTAGCATCTAAGGCTATAAGAAATCGGATGGTTTCGATTCGAGCTACCGAAGTAAATACTTCTTGAAAATCAATACCGGATTGTTGCACGTAACATTTAGCAACTAATCTTGCCTTGTATTTATTAACGGTGTCGTCTATAATTTTCTTCAATTTGAACACTCACTTGAGTCCGTTTGGCTTCACCCCCATAGGCTTGTTTACGAGAGTCCATGTATTATTCTTGTTTATTGAATTAATTTCCGTACTCATGGCTTTAACCCACTCTGGTTCTTTCTTCGCTTCTTCAACTGATACCAGTTCGTCAATGGTTGTAAGAAGAAGTTCTTCGAGATTATCAAGATGTTGAGAATAAATCTCGAATGATCAAATAGATTCAACAGGTAAAAGAACTGAGAACACAGAATGAATATCAAATATGTCGAATGATTTATTATCACAGCCTTAGAAGAGCTCGATTAAGAACTGCTACTGTAAAGGAGTGTAGGGTTTACAAAGATGATTTGACGATTATATAAAACAATGCATGCATGCACCTTAAATAGATAAACCCTAATAATAAAGAACGGTGGACAGGCCCAACCCTGATACAAAATAGACTAAACAATAAGCCCACAATGACGCAACACTTTAATCCCAACAATCTCCCCATTTGCGTCAATTGAGGCAGGAGACCTTCATTGTGGAGTTCGCTTCTGCACTTCAAATAGTTTCGGAATTACGTTGATCCACTGCTAGAAAAAGGACAGATTTCCTACGAATATTTCCGAGGAAAATGAATTTTTCGGTATTACCTACGAATTACCGAGGAAAGTCTTAGGAATAACCATAAACGCCCTTTCCTCGTAAATCCTTCGGAACTTCCTACACTTTTCCTAGGATATTTATAAATACCCAACTTTCCTCGGTATTTCCTTTGTAATATTTTTTTTTAACAATTTTTTTCTTGTAATAAAAAAATCACATCGAGTTTATGTAGAGAATACACTCATTGTTCCTACACTTTTCCTATGAAGGTTGTACTAACTACAGTTTGTATTTCCTACACTTTTCCTAGGATCTTTATCAATACCCAACTTTCCTCGGTATTTCCCTAGTAATATTTTTTTAACAATTTTTTTCTTGTAACAATATAAATCATGTCGAGTTTAGTAGACAATACAATCATTGTTCCTACACTTTTCCTACAAAAGTTGTACTTAGTACACTTTCCTCGGTATTCCCTCAGTATTTTTGAGGAATTTCCTAGGAACAAGCACATAAATGATAAATTTATATAGACGCTTGTGTTACTTAAACAAATTAAACCATGACTGTTACTATACTTCACTACTAGAAATGAAGTTTCCTCACTTTCCAAGGGATTTCCTAGGAACAGAATCCAATTTTTCTTTTAAATTTTAGGTTGAAATGTCTACTTTTCGTTCAACATTTTTGTACAGCTTCATTATATATAAATTGTTTTTAGCTTACCAAGTTATGGATGATATATACATACGTACGTATACACACCACCATAACACATTACACACCACCATAACACCTTACTCAAAGCACTTGTTTATTATTATATATTTTATATATTGTATAGGTATATATGTATGTTTATTATCATATGCATTTCCTAGAAATTTGTGACGAATAATGTATTTCCTAGGAAGTCCATCGGAAGTTCCCAAATTTTTCCTAGAGATTTCCTAGGAACGCAATCTATTTTCTAATATTAAAAGTTGAAACATCTATTTTTTCGTTCAATATTTTGCTCAACTTCATTATACTTGAAATTCTTTTAGTTTACCAAGTTATGCATGATATATACATACGTAAATATACACACCACCATAACATCTTACTCGAAACATTTTTTTATCATTATATATTCTATATAGTGTATGTGTACATATGTATGTTTATGTATGTGCATAATTCATATTTTGGTTAGGTAAAAGTATTTCATGTATAACAAAGTTGCACAAAATATGGAACGAATAAAAAATAACAAGAACGAAAAAATGAGTTTTATTCCTAGTAAATCCCTTGGAACTTCCTATGCATTTCCCATAAATTTGTGACGACTAATGTATTTCCTCGGAAATCTATCACAAGTTCCCTCATATTTCCTAGGGATTTTCTAGGAACAGAATCCATTTTCTAATTTTAAAATATGAAACATTTATTTTTTTCGTTCAATATTTTGTACACCTTCATTATACATGAATTGTTTTTAGTTTACCAAGTTATGCATGATATGTACATACGGAAGTGAGCACACTACAATAACATATTACTCAAAACATTTGTTTGTCATTATACATTCTATATAGTGTATGTGTATATATGTATGTTTATGTATGTGCATAATACATATTTTGGTAAGATAAAAGTATTTTATGTATAACAAAGTCGCACAAAGTATGGAACGAATAAAAAATAATATGAATGCAAAATGAGTTTGATTCCTAGGAAATCCCTTGGAACTTCCTATGCATTTCCTACAAATTTGTGATGACTACTGTATTTCCTAGGAAATTCATCGGAAGTTCCCACATATAACCTAGGGATTTGCTAGGAACATAATCCATTTTCAAATATTAAAATATGAAACATTTATTTTTCGTTCAATATTTTGTATAACTTCATTATACATGAATTGTTTTTAGTTTACAAAGTTATGCATGATATATACATACGTAAGTGTGCACACCAACATAACACATTACTCAAAACATTTGTTTATCATTATACATTCTATATAGTGTATGTGTACATATGTATGTTTATGTATGTGCATAATATGTTGGTAAGATAAAAGTATTTCATGTATAACAAATTTGCA